TAAAATTTACTTTCTTAACCATGTTTAAATGTACAGTTCAGTGGCATGAAGTACATTCCGACTCTGTGCAGCACTCACCACCATCCAACCACGGAAGTCTTCTGATCATTCCAAACTGAAACTCTGTACCTACTGAACAGGAGCTCCCTGCTCGCTCTCGCCCCCAGCTCTTAGCAACCGCCATGCCACTTTCTGTCTCTGTACATTTAACATGTAAGTGGAATGATACAATCTTTGTCTTTTTGACTGGCTCATTTCATTCGGCATCACCTCCTCGCACTCCATCCATGTTGCAGCATGTGTCAGAATGTCCTTCCTCTTTAAGGCTGAATAATAGTCTATTGTATGTATATTTAGCTTATTAATTAATTCATCAGTGAACACTTGGGTTGCTTCTACCTTTTGGGAATTGCAAATAATGCTGCTATGAACATGGGTGTATCAATATCTCTGCAAGACCCTGCTTTCAATTTTTGGGGGTATATACTCAAATGTAAAATTACTAGGTCATATGGTAATTTAATTATTAATTTTTTGAGGAACTGACATACTGTTTTCCACAGCAGCTCTACCATTTTACATTCCCACCAACAATGCACAACTGATTGAAATGCTCATCTATTCCAGAGACACCCTCACAGACACACTGGAAATAATGTTCTATCAGATACCTGGACATCCATTAGTCCAGTCAAACTGACACCTAAAATTAACTATCACTGTCTATATATCTACTTTTATGCCAGTGCCACACTGTTTTGATTATTGTAGCTTTGTAGTAAGTTTTGAATTTAGGAAGTGTGAGACCATTAACTTTCTTCTTTTTCAAGATTTTTTTTTGAGACAAGAGTCTTGCTGTGTTGCCCAGGCTGGAAGATAGTGGCTATTCACAGGCTGTTCACAATCCTACTGCTGATCAGCATGGGAGTTTTGACCTGCTCCGTTTGCAGCCTGGGTTGGTTTACTTCTCATTAGGCAACTTGGTGGTCCCCCACTTCCAGGAGGTCACCATATTGATGCTGAACTTAGTGTGGACCCCCGATCAGCACTGCACACTACAGGCCAGAACTCCTGGGTTCAAGCAATCCTCCTCCTGTCTCAGCCTCCTGAGTGGCTGGGACTGCAGGCACGAGCCTCCACACCTGGCTTAAGGTCATTTTAGATGTTTTACAGCTTAAATCCACAATCTATTTCGAGTTAATTTTTGTATAAGGTGTGAGATTAGGTTGAGGTTATTTTTCCCCCCATGGATGCCTAACTGCTCCAGCTCTATTTGTTGAAAAGTCTATCCTTCCTCCATTGAATTGCTTTTGCATCTTTGTCAAAAATGGGTTGCGCCTATTTGAATGTATTTCTGCGTTTTCTGTTCGGGTGTATTGATCTCTGTGTTCATCTGTCTGCCAATACCACGTGACCTTGGCTACTGTAGCTGTACAGGAAGTCAGTATCAGGACAGTGATTCCTCCCACTTTATTCTCCTTTGTCAAGATTATTCCAACTATTCGAGGGTCTGTAACTTTCCATATAAATTTTAGAATTAACTTGTCTAAATCTATTAAAAACTTTGCTGGAATTTTGATAGGCATTGAATAAAGCCTCGAGTTCCGTTTGGGGAGAAGTCACATCTCTACAACGTCAAGTCCCCCAATCCGTGAACACACTCTGTCTCTCCATTTATTTAGCTCTTCCATTACTTCTTTAATCAGCATTCTGCGGTTTTGGGCATTCAGATCCTGTATGTGTTTTGCATAAATATGTCATTTTCTTTTGAGTAACTGTGCATGGTATTAATTTTTAAATTTCAGCTTCTACATGCTCATTGTTAGTAAACAGAAATGCAATTAATGTTTGTGTGTTGATCTTATAGCCTCCAATTTTGCTGAACTCATTTATTATTTCCTGTAAGCTTTTTGTGGGAATTTCCTGAGATTACTTCCCCTTCATTCCCAACAGATAGTTTAATTGGATATAAAATTCACAGCTGATGGTTTCATCAGCACTTGAAATATGTTGTATCACTTCCTTCTGGCCTCCATAGTTTTGCTTTTTTTAGTGATGGAGCCTCGCTGTGTCCAGTGAGTGCTGGAGTCCAGGCTGGAGTGCATTGGCGTGATCTTGGCTCACTGCAGCCTCTGCCTCCTGGGTTTAAGTGATTCACCCACCTCTGCCTCCCAAGTAGCTGGGACTACAGGTACACGCCACCACACCTGGCTAATTTTTGTATTTTTAGTAGAGATGGGGTTTCACCATGTTGGCCAGACTGGTCTTGAACTCCTGACCTCAAGTGATCCGCTCGCTTCAGCCTCCCAAATGGCCTCCATAGTTTCAGATGATAAACCCACTGTCATTTGAATTGGCATTCAACTACAGGTGATGTGCTGTTTCTTTGTGGCTTTTGAGATTTCCTTTTGTCTTTAATTTGCAAAAGTTTATGATGTGTCTTGACATGGATTTCTTTGGGTTTATTTTGTTTGGGGTTTTCTCAGCTTCTTGAATGTGCTGGTTTGTGTCTTCACCAAGCTTTGGAAGTCTGCAGGTATGATTACTTTAGTTACCCTCTCAACCTCATCCTTTCTCTTCTCCTTCTGAGACTGCCATGGTATGCAGAAATACAAATGTTGCTTTTTTGTTATTGTCCTATAGGTCCCTGAGACTGACACACACACTCTGTCTCACACACACACACACACACACACACACACACACACACACACAATTTCTTCCCACTATATTATCTCTCTGTTGTTCAGACTGGGTAAATTCTATTGATCTGTCCTCAATCAAGCACTGATTTATCTTCTGTCTTCTCTCCGTTCCTCCTGAGGCTACCCAGTAGGCTTTTATTCCTGTGGTTATATTTTTCAGTTCTATAATTTTCATTTGGTTCTTCTATATAGCTTCTTTTTTGCTGAGATTCTTTATTTTTTTATTAGTTCCAATAAAATGTGCAATTGTTAAAGCGTCATTACGATGGCCACTTTAAAATCCTCGCAGATAATTCTAACAACTGGTTAGTCTCTGCGATGGCGCCGTTGATTCTTTTCGCATTCAGGCTGTGATGTTCCTCGTTGTTGGCACTACAGGCGAGTCTCAGCTGCACCCTACATACTCTGGCTGCCACATCAGGAGACTCTGGTCCCACTTAGTTCCTTGGTTGCAACCTCAGTCGCCTTGTTCACGTTCACCACGCAGTTCCTGGTCTGAGGGCTGAGGTTTCAGTGGGCTGAGGTTCCAATGACAATTTGATTTTCAGAGCCTTTGTGGTGTTCTTTTCACACCTGGTTTCTTTGGTGCTGCTGGAGCTCCTGCTGGTGCTGCCTGAGAGGGCCCAAGGGGTGTTCCCCGGTCAGGCTGCCCAGCGCCCCTTGGCAGGGGAGGTGAGTTTCAGGTCCAGTGTGAAAGGAGAAGGCGTCCCCAGAAGGCACCTGAGTAATCTCCCCTCCTGTGCTGCTGGGCTCCTGGGGAGTTTTCAGAGGGACTCCTCTTCAAATTGTGAGAGCATTGAGCCTGCTTTGGCTGCCTTCTGTTGACAGGCTGGGGGTCAGGAAACTCCAGGCCTGGGTCATCTTTTTCCAGTGAGTAGGGGTACATAAGATACCCTGCCACTGAGTTGTTGTTCCTTTATTCTTGGGGTCCTGAACTAATGCATAATTCCCATGCCAGCTTTCAGAGTTATCCTCTGATTTCCTTTTGCATTGTTTTCACAGTTTATAGCTGTACTTGACAAGAAGGAGCAGCGAGAAGCAAGCTCACACCATTTTGTCCAGGCCAGAAGTCGTATTTTCAAGCCTTTGAAAAAGTAGATCGCTGTATCAGTCCGTTTTCATCCTGCTGATAAAGACATATCTGAGACTGGGTAACTCAGAAAGGAAAGAGGTTTAATGGACTCACAGTTCCACATGGCTGGGGAGGCCTCACCATCGTGGTGGAAAGCAAGGAGGGGTGAAGGCATGTCTTCCACGGATGGCGCAGGCAAAGAGCTTGTGCAGGAAAACTCTACCAACCATCAGGCCTCGTGAGACTCACTCACTGTCATGAGAACGTAAGGGAGAAGCCCGCCCCCATGATTCAGTCACCTCCCACCAGGCCCCTCTCATGACGTGTGGGAATTCTGGGAGCCACAATTCAAGCTGAGATTTGGGTGGGGACACGGCCACACCATTTCCATCAAAAAGCTCATCGGAACCTCAGCATGTGCGAACGTCCTTGTTAATTAGAGGGCTTCACTGTCGACGATCTGACCAGCTCATTAGTATCTTTTTTTTTCTCTTGGGCTGTCAGATCCCTCAATTTCAATTCCCTGTTTGGAGTTCGTAGCTGACCTGCCAGCTTTCTGGGAGCTGAGTGGGAGTAGGGTTTTCCATTTAGAATATGGAGTTGCTGTTCATTGCCCAGTGCTCACACCGCACCACTGCCTTTTCCTCTGCTGACTGTCTTAGTCAAGAGCCCTCTGGTTTACCTTCTTTGGAAATGAAACCTCTGGCTTTTACTAGGTGGTGGCTGATTCTCCTGTATGTTTAAAGGTACCTGGTGCTGCCAATTCTGGGCCTTCTCTGTGGATGCTGAGGTATAGAAGAGTCGGGTCTGGCCTTCTCATCACGGACCCAGAGTCAGGACTGCCACGCTGCTCACCACACCTCGCCTGCTTTCCAGAGTCTGCGGCCATGCTGCCATGTCCCTGCAGAGTATGCTGAATACCGTGTTCCTGGGAGTTTACACTACATATTTTATTTCTCTTAACCCTTTACTTCAGTGGTAGTAAGCTTTCAAAAGAAAACAAAAAAAAAAAAAAAAAAGCATGTATTTTATCTGCCGTCATTAACTGGAAGGCTTGCCTCACTTCTCTTGCTACAAAATGAGATCTTGGATCAGAAGCAGGGCTGAATTTGGTTCCATGAAAATGAGTGAGGGATGAAGTCTGTGGCTGGAGGGAGCGGCAGAAATGCGACAGGCTGGGAAGGCAAATCCAGATTCAGAACACATATCAGTAACACTTTAGAAAAACGATCTATTTCAGTTCCTAGGAAACCCACAATCCATTAGTCACTCCCAAGGATCCCTGTAGGTCAGACCATCTGATTACCACCACTCCAGCCCTGCTGCTTACTGCAGTGACCATGCACATTTTGCCTTTGGTGCTTATGAGCCATTACTTGGCCACTGTCAACCCTAAGATCCCATTATCCTCCCTGAAAGCAGGGAGGCCACTTCAAAGGCAAAGGCTCCTGCTCACACCCTTGACTGGTCAAAGTCGCCGGCGTTCCTCACCAACAAGGTCCTCAATGATGGGCGAGGTGTCCTCTCAGCCCTCTCAGCAGACACAGGGGGCACGGGTGACATGCCTGACGTATCCACTCCAGCATTCGGGGCGCCCGCCTTTGGGTCCCTTTATGTCACGTAAGAGCATCTGCAGCATTTTGACTCCTTGCATCACAGGCCACCTTTAACCCAGAGGTCAGTGAACAAGCAAGCAGGCCCTCAGAAATGCTCTCGGCTGCTTCAGCTCCACCTTGAGCACCTGTTGCTGGAATACTCCCGAAATGAATTTCGACATCACACAGCCCTCTTAGCAGCAGACCACAGAAGCCTCACTGGCTGGTGTGCATCAGACAGATTACAGAACCTTCAGGAGCACTGGAGTCAGCTCGCAGGCTGCACAGCCCAGACGACGGCCAAACCACAGCCAGCAGGGACAGCCCTCAGCTTGTACGTGGGCAGTGGGAAGGGGACTCCAGAAGTTCCAACACTGCTTTCCATCAGCCATCTTCGTCTAAACATGGAGGCTGCATGTTCCTGCTTCCTGATCTGAGCTGAAGTCTGGGACAGGCACGTATGATGGGCTGAACTCAGTGGCATGTCTGTTTTCCTGGGGAAGCTGGGATTTTAAATAAATTCTGGTTTCTACGACATAGAAGTGCTACTTATGTGGGAACTGTTCAAAACATAGGAAGACTATTTAGCAGATGCAGGAAGGCCACCAAGTGTGACACATATCTGCCACCTAAATATCCTGAGTTCAAGCAGTTCTCCTGTCTCAGCCTCCTGAGTAGCTGGGACTACAGGCTCATGCCACCACGCCCGGCTAATTTTTGTAGTTTAGTAGAGATGGAGTTTCACCGTATTGGTGACAGTGGTCTCGAACTCCTGACCTCAGCTGATCCACCCACTGCTCTAGCCTCCCAAAGTGCTGGGATTGCAGGTGTGAGCCACAGCACCCGGCACCCTTAATGTTTCTCTTAAATGACCTGTGATATGCTAAGATTCCTAATGAAGGCAGAGCTTCCAGTTAAACATATGAGTAGACAGCCTAGATGAAGCTTGAAATAATTACACTGAGTGAGCAATGTCAGACAAAAAAAAAAGAGTGCATACTGTATGATTCGTCTTACGTAAAACTTCAGGTAATGCAGATGAATCATAGTAACAGCAGATCAGTGACGGGGGTGTGGGAAGAGATGGAGGGGAGATTTTAGAGGGGATGAGGAAGGGTTCGTGGGTGACAGGTGTGTTCCCTGTCTTGATTGTGGTGGTGGGGGTTTCACGGGTGTATATACATACGTCAAAACTTATCAAAGGGTACACTTTAAATACATGTGGTTTATCACATGCTACTTATGCCTCATTAAAGCTGTTTTTAAAATGTTAGACTGCTTTCCATTTGCTGGCCATCGAAATTTCCATTTCTGTAAAATGGGAAAAATAATACCTACCTCATAATTTTGGTGTGGAGATTAAGTCAGTAAAAATTAAAAGGATGAAATGAGATGACATCTTCCCTTGGGTTCAGCTAAAAGCCTTGGAGTCACCCTTTCTCCCTCTTTTTCTACACCCACATACAACCCCCGGGGACCCCGGGGGTGACTAATAGAGTGGGCGCGGTAGAGATGAAACAGGGTTGGCCATGATTCAAAGACTTGACAGTTACCGAAGCGGGAAGACAGGTCCATGAGAGGTCAGGATATTATCCTCTCTACTTTTGTATGTATTTGTATTTTCCACAATAATAATTAAAAAATAAACAGTGAGGCCAGGCATGGTGGCTCACACCTGCAATCCCAACACTTTGGGAGGCCACAGTGGGAGGATCCCTTGAGCCCAGGAGTTCGAGACCAGCCTGGGCAACACAGTGAGGCCCCTCATCACAAACGTTTTAGAAATTAGTTGGGTGTGGTGGGGGGCGCCTGTAGTCCCAGCCACTGAGGAGACTGAGGTGGAAGGATCACTTGAGCCCAGGAGGTCAAGACTGCAGAGAGTTGTGATCACACCACTGCACTCCAGACAGGGCAACAGGGCAAGACCCTGCCTCAAAAAATTAACATAAAAAATAAGGCCAGGCACAGTGGCTCAAGCCTGTAATCCCAGCACTTTAGGAGGCCAAGGTGGGCGGATCACAAGGTCAGAAATTGGAGAGTAGCCTGGCCAATATGGCGAAACCCCATCTCTACCAAAAATGCAAAAATTAGCCAGGCTTGGTGGCGGGTGCCTGTAGTCCCAGATGCTTGGGAGGCTGAGACAGGAGAATCGCTTGAACCCGGGAGGCAGAAGCTGCGGTAAGCCGAGATGACACCACTGCACTGAGCCTGGGCGACAGAGCGAGATGCCATCTCAATAAATAAATAAATAAATGACACAGTGTTTCCCCATTTCAACTCAGAGGAAAACCAAAGTCCTGATGGTGTCCCACGGGTCAGAACACAACCCCCCACGCTTCCCTCTCCCCTCACCTCCTAGTCGCCCCCTCATCCACTGCTCCGGCCCCGTCGCTCTCTGGGCTGTTCCAGGAACATGCCAGGCACTCTCCTGTGTCGGGACCTTGGCTCCAGCTGTGCCCCCACCGGGAATCCTCTGCGGCTTGACTCTCCTGGTGAGTGTGACCCTCCTGGTGAGTCCATCCTGACTGCTCCGTTTAAAGTCGTTCCCACCTCCTCCTGCCACTTCCCATGCGCCTTCCGTTTCCCGTCTGCACAGCTGTGACCATCGTCCAACGCCCTGAGTAACTATGTGTTTCTGTCTCCCCCACCACCCTTGCCCCGACCCCCTGACGAATACACGCTCCATGACGCCTGATTGCTGACTCTTCAGCATTTAAAGCAGTGCACAGCTGGTTCTTGATGATGAGTGAATGAGCCACGTACACACGTTCTACAGGAATGCTTGCTAGAGGGAGCGCTATGGGATCCATCATCATCTAAAAATATTTCGTCAAGTCATTTGATAAATCTTAGTTAATCGGTCAGTCAGTATTTTCTGTCCTGGTCTTTGCAATGAGACTACGATTAATGACATTTTTGTTAATTCTTGGGAAGCGGCCGTAGGGAAGGCTTCCCACAGTTTTGGAGGAGGGCAAATCTGCTTCAAATTCTGGCGCCGCCCCATGCCCGCTCTGTGACTTGGCCAAGGTGCCCAGCCCTCAAGCCGAGTCTCCTCAGTGGCTGTGCTTGCCACAGTGCCCGGCAGTCCCGGGCTGGGCTGAAAGCCCACTACCTGCCCTGTCTGAGTGAGCCCTTGTCTTTTCAGCAACAGGGACTGACCACCTCCAGAGCCTGCCCAGGTGCTGTGTCCCTTTGGGACCTGCTGGTGGGGTGAGCAAGTGACAGTCAGTTACACCATTTAAGAGGGACACAGGCTGGGCGCGGTGGCTGACACCTGTAATCCCAGCACTTTGGGAGGCCAAGGCGGGCGGATCACCTGAGATCAGAAGCTCGAGAGCAGCCTGGCCGACATAGTAAAACCCCATCTCTACTGAAGAAAAAAAAATTAGCTGAACGTGGTGGCAGGCACCTGTAATCCCAGCTACTGGGGAGGCTGAGGCAGGAGAATCATTTGAACCCAGGGGGCGGAGGTTGCAGTGAGCCAAGATCGTGCCATCACACTCCAGCCTGGGCAACAGAACGAGATTCTGTCTCAAAAGAAAAAAAAGAAAAAGGGACAGAGTGATATTGCTGAGATCACAAAAGGGAGGTGACTCAGTCCTAGCCCAGCCAGCTGTCATTTCTCCTGTACCCCCAGGCCTGACGTTATAAACAAGTGACTCAGAGGAATGACGGGGTGTGCCTCATAATAGTTCATCCCAGTGTCCTGGGGGCTAAATTTAACACACAGCTGCAGCCTCTGGCACTTTGGGAACAAGTTAATCTTGGTGACTGAGGCTAATGTGTGTGTGTCTGGTGATGGGTCGGGGTGGGGGGAAGGGAGCCGGGAGGGGGTCAAGAGTGCAGAACAAGGTAGGCATCGAGACTGGCTGTCAACCTGGGCTCCAAGCCTGGTCCCTCGGACCACAGACAGGGCACAGGGGCCATGGCCAGGCGGCCCAGGCCTTGCCTCATATGCACCAGGAACAGTGAGTACAGACAACTAAAGTCCTGAAATATTCAACTTGTTAAACACTAGAATTCAGAATGTCACTCCTCTAGAATGTTAAAACCCTGGGGGTTTAAATGCCTAGAAGAGTACAATCCTAAGAAATTAATTTTCTAGCACGTCCGACACTTCGAAATGTGAAAGCCCTCTGAGGTGTGCTCCCAGGAACACGGCCCCTGGTGCTTCTGAACCTCCAGCACAGCTGAACGGAGGCCCTTAGTGTCTAACTTCGCCAGCTCCTCATTGTGTAGGAAGGGAAACTGAGGCTTGACAAAGAGACCTGCCCTGCCCCAGGCTCCAAGGGAAAGTGGCAACCTTCTTTACCTAAGGTACTTTCCTGCTTTCTTGCAAGGAGGAGGGTCTCAGAGCAGGGGCAGAAAGAGGAAAAGCTCTTCCCATTTTAAAGGTGAGGCAACGCGAGTGGTGTCTTATGTCTGTGGTGCCAGCTACTAGGGAGGCTGAGGCAGAAGGATGGCTTGAGCCCAGGAGTTCAAGTCCAGCCTGGGCAACATCGTGAGACCCTGCATCTTAGAAAATAAAACAGGCTGGGTGCAGTGCCTAACACCTGTAATCCCAGCACTATTGGAGGCTGAGGCAGGTGGATCATGAAGTCAGGAGTTCAAGATCAACCTGGACAAGATGGTGAAACCCCATCTCTACTAAAAATACAAAAAAAAAAATTAGCCAGGCGTGGTGGCAGGCCCTGTAATCCCAGCTACTTGGGAGGCTGAGGCAGAGGATGGCTTGAACCTGGGAGGCGGAGGTTGTAGTGGGCTGAGACCAGGACACTTCACTCCAGCCTGAGCAATAGAGCGAGACTCCGTCTCTAAATAAATAAATAAAAATAAAATAAAGGCAGGGCAACGGGGCCAGTAAAGAGCGAACACCATGTCCAAGTTCTGGCAGAAAACCCAAGGCTCCGGGGGCTGGAGTGAGGTACATTCCGCGGAGGCGGACGGGGGCACCAGGGCAGATGAACCCAGGCAGCAGGAAGGGAGGGAGACCCCGGAAGACCGGCTCCGATGCTTAGGCCACCCCCTCCCACAGCGGCTCTCTCAACCAAAGCATCCGGAGTCGCGGCCTCCCCGTGCTCCATTTAGAAATGAGGCAGCCAGACCCCTCATCTTTCAAAGGGGCCCAGACACCCCACCCCGTCCCATGAGCCCCGGGGCTGAGCCAAGGCTTCTCCCGGAGGGGGCCTCTGCCCAGCTGTCCCCTGTGCGTCATGTGCAGGAGGCCAGGCGGCTCGCCTTACAGGGCCCCGGCCGCCTCTATATATAGCCCTTCGAAGACAGCTGCGCAGTCCGAGCGAGCCCCGCAGGAAAGCAGGGGCGCAGAGAGGAGCCCCTTGGCCCCGCCACCCTCCCTAGGCCCCCACCTTCATCCCCCACCCTAGGCCCCCACCATGGCGCTGGGCTTGGAGCAGGCGGAGGAGCAGCGGCTGTACCAGCAGACGCTCCTGCAGGACGGGCTCAAGGACATGCTGGACCACGGCAAGTTCCTGGACTGCGTGGTGCGCGCCGGCGAGCGCGAGTTCCCGTGCCACCGCCTGGTGCTGGCCGCCTGCAGCCCCTACTTCCGCGCGCGCTTCCTGGCCGCGCCCGAGCGCGCGGGCGAGCTGCAGCTGGAGGAGGTGTCGGCCGACGTGGTGGCGCAGGTGCTGCACTACCTGTACACGTCGGAGATCGCGCTGGACGAGGCCAGCGTGCAGGACCTGTTTGCCGCGGCGCACCGCTTCCAGATCCCGTCCATCTTCACCATCTGCGTGTCCTTCCTGCAGAAGCGCCTGTGCCTGTCCAACTGCCTGGCCGTGTTCCGCCTGGGGCTCCTGCTGGACTGCGCGCGCCTGGCCGTGGCCGCCCGAGACTTCATCTGCGCGCACTTCACGCTGGTGGCGCGCGACGCCGACTTCCTGGGACTCTCGGCCGACGAGCTCATCGCCATCATCTCCAGCGACGGCCTGAACGTGGAGAAGGAGGAGGCGGTGTTCGAGGCGGTCATGCGCTGGGCGGGCAGCGGCGAGGCCGAGGCGCAGGCGGAGCGCCAGCGCGCGCTGCCCACCGTCTTCGAGAGCGTGCGCTGCCGCCTGCTGCCGCGCGCCTTCCTGGAGAGCCGCGTGGAGCGCCACCCTCTCGTGCGCGCCCAGCCCGAGCTGCTGCGCAAGGTGCAGATGGTGAAGGACGCGCACGAGGGCCGCCTCACCACGCTGCGCAGGAAGAAGAAGGGGAGGGACGCTGCCAAGGAGGCCGAGAAGGGCGCGGGCGAAGCCAAAGCAGAGGACGAGGAGGAGGCCGAGCGCATCCTACCCGGGATCCTCAACGACACCCTACGCTTCGGCATGTTCCTGCAGGACCTCATCTTCATGGTCAGCGAGGAGGGCGCGGTGGCCTACGACCCTGCAGCCAACGAGTGCTACTGCGCCTCCCTCTCCAGCCAGGTCCCCAAGAACCACGTCAGCCTGGTTACCAAGGAGAACCAGGTCTTCGTGGCTGGAGGCCTCTTCTACAACGAAGACAACAAAGAGGACCCCATGAGCGCCTACTTCCTGCAGGTGCGTGACCAGCCTGGGAGCTGCCAGCTAATCCTGGGCTCTGGGCACTGGAGGGGAGCAGTCTTGGGCCCAGAAGGGGCTTGTGTCTACACAGAGAACTCCGTTGGGTCTAGGGTGAGATGGAGGCGGCTGGCATCTCAGTTTCGGGGATGTGGTAGCCCCAAGTTGGCATATGCTGGAGGTCCTGGCCCTGCACAGTGAGGAGGATCAAGGTTGCCGTCAGGGTCCTGGGCAGGGTCTCTGCGTGAAGGCCTGGCCTGGAGCTCAGAGCAGTGTCCCAGACAAAGGCACCATCCTGTCTGGCCCTGGCATTGTAACAGATGAGGAAGCCGAGGCCCAGCAGGGACCAGTCGAGTGAGGGGCCAGGGCTAAGCTGGGGTGTGACTGTGAGATCTCAGAGGGCACAGTTTCCTGGAGATGGGCCATGTCAGTTTGAGCCTTGCCAGTGGCCGTGTTTCCGCCAGGGAACCATAGACAAGGGACAGAATGGGGGCTGAGCCTGGTGAGCGGCGTGCTCAGGGAGGCTGACCAGCAAGACGGGCGACAGGCATTGGGCCGAGGTTCAGCTCACGAAGCCTTATGTTCGGTTGCCCTGGGGGCTGAGGGCAGCGCCGCCAGCTACTGGCGCAGCAGGGTGGGGACGTTGCTTGTTCCCTCTGGGCCTCTGTTTGTAAGTGGGGATATTATTCCTCCTGCATGATAAGGTCATGGTAAAGTAAGTGATGCTTATAAAGTGCTCATCAGCACAGTGCCCACCCCTCAGAAAACGTTCCAAAAAGATGAGCCCTGAGAATTAACATCTTTATTACAGGCTGTGGAGGTGGACGAGGCTGTGGACTGTAGGTTTTACAGGGTGAAAGGGGGGGCTGCATTTGGAAGTTTCCTGAACAGTGGGATGGAGTGGAGAGCAGGGTAGGGGCAGGCCTCAGTGCCTGGGGAAGTAAGGCCATAGCCGGACCTCCCTCGCAGGGCTGCCCCCATTTCCATGCTGTGAGCCCTACCGCCTGCCATAAAGGTGGCTGCCGGGAGCCTGCCTGGGCGTGGGGGACACTCATCGGCTCTCAGCCTGATGGCAGAGGGGCACTGGCCCTAACTGGGGCAGCGGGACTGCGTGGGGCTGGACTGAGGCCGGGGAGCTGGGGGCGATCGCTGACTGGACCCCTGGCCCGCAGTTTGACCACCTGGACTCAGAGTGGCTGGGGATGCCACCGCTGCCCTCGCCCCGCTGCCTCTTTGGCCTGGGAGAGGCTCTCAACTCCATCTACGTGGTCGGTGGCAGAGAGATCAAGGACGGTGAGCGCTGCCTGGACTCCGTCATGTGCTACGACCGGCTGTGAGTGTGCTGGGGTGGCGCTGAGCACCCCGGGGTGGGTGGGGACTCCGTCATGTGCTACGACCAGCTGTGAGTGTGCTGGGGTGGCGCTGAGCACCCTGGGGTGGGTGGGGACTCCGTCATGTGCTACGACCAGCTGTGAGTGTGCTGGGGTGGCGCTGGGCACCCCGGGGTGGGTGGGGACTCCGTCATGTGCTACGACCAGCTGTGAGTGCGCTGGGGCGGCACTGGGCACCCCGGGGTGGGTGGGGCACGGAGGCCACCGCAGTCTAGGGCCTGGGGTGGGAGCTGGAGCCAGAACCTCAGGCTTAGGTGAGGCTGGGCTTGGGTAGGGGCAGGCAGTTGGGAGGCAGGGTGGGGGCACAGAACTGAGAGTCCCAGGAAGTTCCAGCAATGGCTCTGACGCAGCTCCAGTATGCGTTAGGTGGATGGGTGGATGGGTGCAGAGACGGGGACTGAGCCGAGCTGGGGTGTGTGCCCAACCCCACTCCATCTCCTCCAGGTCATTCAAATGGGGCGAGTCGGACCCGCTGCCCTATGCGGTGTACGGCCACGCAGTGCTGTCTCACATGGACCTTGTCTACGTCATTGGCGGCAAAGGCGGCGACAGGTGAGGCTGGGCCTGGCGCGAGTCGGCGGAGCAGAGGCAGGATCCCCCGGAGGCTGTCAGGAGTTTGTCCTGCTGCCCTGGACACGCCTGCAGCAAGGGTGGCGTCTACACTCACTCCCTCGCTCCACCCCACAGGAAGTGCCTGAATAAGATGTGTGTCTATGACCCCAAGAAGTTCGAGTGGAAGGAGCTGGCACCCATGCAGACCGCCCGCTCACTCTTCGGGGCCACTGTCCACGATGGCCGCATTGTTGTGGCAGCTGGGGTCACCGACACAGGGCTGACCAGCTCTGCTGAGGTGTACAGCATCACAGACAACAAGTACGGAAACTTGTCCCTTCTGCCACGGACAGCTGTGTGGCTTTGGGCCTCTGTCAGCCCCGGCAGGAGCCACAGTCCCTGTCTTGGGTCTCCAGCGTTGAGTTTGGACGTCAGCATAGACACAGGCCTTCTCTCCTGATCAGCAGTGAGGTGGGGAGGCGGGGCAAGGGCTCCGGCCAGCCTGGTCTGCAGGAGGGGCTCCCAGGGCTGGAGGAGGGGATGCCAGGTTCCTCACTCAGGGACTTAGACCTGGCGGGGGCCTAGTGCGAGAGATATAGCAGTGACCGAGACAGAAGCTGCCCTCCCTGGGACACAGAGAAGAGAAAGCTGAACTGAGACAGCTGGACCCAGCTGGCAAACTGGATGAGGGTGGGGGGAGGAGGTCGCCCCAAACTAAAGCAGGTAGGAGGAAAAAGGCCAGGCCTACAGGAGGGAAGGCAGTGCAGGGGCTGGGTGCTGGAGGTGGGATGGGGTGCTGGGGCTGGGTGCTGGAAGTGGGATGCGGTGCTGGGGCTGGGGGCTGGGGCTGGGTGCTGGAGGTGGGATGGGGTGCTGGGGGCTGGGTGCTGGAGGTGGGATGGGGTGCTGGGGCTGGGTGCTGGGGCTGGGTGATGGAGGTGGGATGGGGTGCTGGGGCTGGGTGCTGAGGTGGGTGATGGAGGTGGGATGGGTGCTGGGGCTGAGTGCAGGGGGTGGGTGATGGAGGTGGGATGGGGTTCTGGGGCTGGGTGCTGGGGCCAGGTGATGGAGGTGGGATGGGGTGCTGGGGCTGAGTGCAGGGGGTGGGTGATGGAGGTGGGAAGGCAGTGCTGGGGCTGGGTGCTGGGGCTGGGCGACGGAGGTGGGCTGGGTGCTGGGGCTGGAGCAGGGCCAGCAGGAAAGGGACTGTGTTGCATCTGTGTTCTACACAAGCACTTCACGGCCGCTGGTACAGAGATCGGATTAGGGATTTCCCAGGGGGCAGGAAGGTTGGGGTGGTGAAGGGCAGGAGCCAGGGGCGCCACGGGATGGGGCTGAGGGGATGGCAGGCCAGGGTTTCTCAGGCTGTGCTGGGCATGCCAGTCTCCCGGATGGTGTTAAAGTGCAGATTCCCGGCCTGAGGGCCTATACCGCTGCCCTTCTAACCCACCCCCAGGAGAGGCTGATGCTGCTGGTCCGTGAGCCACACTTGGAGCAGCAAGCGTCTAGGAGGTGGAAGAAACAGGGCTTAGCTCTCGATTGGATGCGGGGGTGGGGGAAGGGCATGTTTCTGAGTGAGGGTGGGAGGCCATTTACTAGAGAATCATGGGGATTGGGTAGGGAAACTGAGGGTCCCCTTAGGACATGGGGCTTTGAAGTGCCTGGCTGTCCAAAAGGATCCCACCTGGAAGGGTGAGGGCTGAGCTGGAGGGAGAGATCTGGGGTCAGTAGCTCGCAGAGGGGCCAGGCTCCCTCGGGAGAGAGGGTGTGCATGGTGAGGGCAGCTGCATTATCCAGGAAGGAGGCCACGCAGGGGATGCCGGAGAGATGGGAGGTGAGGAAAGTCCCGTCCGCAGGGGGTGCGCCCTGGGGCCTCAGTGCACGCGCAGTGGCTGCGGACCTCAGGGAAGGCAGTTTGGAGGACGGACCAAGGCCCAAGGCAGGATCCAGGGCAGCGAAGACATGCTGGGAACACCTGGGCTCTGAAGGGAGGAGAAGGGCCGGGCCGGTGTGCGGGCGGGGGCAGGGCTGCAGGGGCAATGAGGGGCTCAGCGCCTGCTGGGGGCTGGGCTGGGAGTTGGTGGCCAGAATGAGTTCCGGAGAGGGGGAGGGGCAGTGGGAGATCCATGGTGGACTTTGCTGGGCAAGTTGGATAGAATCGGAAGAAGACAGGAAGGGAAAGGGGAGAGGCAAGAGAACGAGGAGGGAAGGGAAGACACGGACAGGGCGGGGCAACGGGCTGGGGGCTTGGGTGCCTGGGACGTGGATTGCAAAGGCGTGCAGCTGGAGCTGTGGGCGCCGGGTGGCAGGGATGGCACTGGACTTGCTGAGGCACCCCGACGATGCACCTCCTCACACCCCAGGTGGGCACCCTTCAAGGCCTTCCCGCAGGAACGCAGCTCCCTCAGCCTGGTCAGCCTGGTGGGCACCCTCTATGCCATCGGAGGCTTTGCCACACTGGAGACTGAGTCCGGAGAGCTTGTTCCCACAGAGCTCAATGACATCTGGAGGTGAGTCTGGTCCCAGGGAGGTGAGGGGGGATCAGGAGCAAGGCTGACACCCACAGCACCGTGGTGGGGTACCGAGGCACTGGGCAAGCTCCTCTGGGGGCAAAGCGGATCCCCCCTCCAGGGAGCCCCGTAGGGAGGAACAGCCAACATACCCTGCTCGGCCGTTTCTCCCAGTTTGCTGGGGAAGTCCAGGCTTGCACAGACCGCACTGTGCCCCACGGTGGAGCAGCGACGATGCTGCAGACAGGAGCGGACCCACAGAAACAGGCCCCAGGCAGCAGCCGGCCTTTCCTCTCTCCTGCCTTCCGGGTGCTTGGTCTGGAGCGAGGGCTGCCACCAGGACCGGGAAGCAGCTGGAGGCCGGGACTTCAGAACCATTGCTCTCGACGGCTGGTCCTTCTCGGGGTGGGGAAAGGAGGCTTTAGCCTCTGGGGCATCTCCTGAGCCTGCAGCCACCCGCTGCTGCAGGCAGCCCCTGGGGAGCACTGCTGCTGGAGGGGACTGGAGACTTCCTAGAAATGGAGCGCGGAAATTCTCGACATTGAGGGGGTGGTGTGGGAGTGTAGACCTTTCTGGAGGGGGGCTTTGAGGAATATGGGAATACCACTTGAGAGGAGATCTTTCCTGGGGAGCAAGGCCCTTCCTGGAGTGTGGGTGGGTGTTTCTGGGTGGGTCCTGTGGGGTCTCCTTTCCCGGAGCCTGGGGACCTTCAGGAGCAGATGTCTTAGAGATGGCCGAGTGCGCTCAGCCGCCTCTCTGCTGCGTTCCACTCTGGACTCAGCTGGCCGAGCTCCCCGTCCTTGTCCCCACCCTTTCTCACCCCCAGGTATAACGAGGAGGAGAAGAAGTGGGAGGGTGTCCTGCGGGAGATCGCCTACGCGGCAGGTGCCACCTTCCTGCCAGTGAGGCTCAACGTGCTTCGCCTGACCAAGATGTGAGCAGCCCGGGGCCTGAGCTCAGTACCATCCCATCCTGCGGCCCTCACAGATCTGGCCTTGTGGGTGCTCCGGAGAAGCGGTCAGGAGAGGCCAGAGTCTGGACCCAGTTAGGGTGCCCTGGGGCTTCGTCAGCCAAGGAAAGGGACGCTGCCTGGCCCCGGCCTTTTGGGCAAGGCTGAGGAACTAGTGGCTTCTCCATTGTCCATGTCTCCCTGGGTCGTCTTGACCCATGAGCCAGAACCACAGGGCGGTATCCTGGCCCTGCCCAGCCTGGCCGAAGCGCTGGAAAGTTCCCCATAGAACTGAGTCTTCTCGCCTATCAGGCGGGAGCGTCCCCGTTAATGCAGTGTACGGGGCAGTCTCTGTCTCTAAGAAGAATAAAGTGCCTTCTGAGCAAGCAGCTCAGGTCTGCGTCCGCGCTCTAGAGCCAGTGAGCAGGTGCTTTGAAGACCTGGGGCTTCAGGGCTTCATGGCTGGGCTGCCTAGTCGGTGGTCTCTGGCCTCCAACTGGTGTCCCCTCCACTGTGGGTGGAAACCCCTGCCCCCCGCCCGAGGCCGAGCCACCAGCTCCTCAGCCACTGTGGATGTGGAGCCAGGGGTCTGTGGAGAGAAGGGGCAGGGAGCAGCCCAGCTGTGGTAGAAAAGTCATTTATTGTGTGGTCAGGCCTCATCTGGCCAGGGAGAGCTGAGCAGGGCCCGTCATTCTGCCCTCCCCCTACTCCAGCTTCTCTTTGTCCTGCCTCTGCTCCTCCTCCAGCGCCAGGCTTCGCTCACGCTCCTTCACCAGCTGAACACCACAGTAGGTGACGAACAGGACGGCCAGCGTGGTCTGGGGGAACCCTGTGTGGGGAAGGGGTCACAGATGCTCAGGCAGCTCCACATCCTCAGTGACTTCTCCTGCCGTCCTTGTCCCGGCGTGCTGGGCCCTCCCTGCTTGGTCCCCGGGGTGATGAGGGGTAGGAGGCATTCTGGAAGGTCCCGGCCCTTGTGCCTGGCACATTCTGTATCTCCACACCCCGCCCCTCACCTGTGAGTAGCAGGCGCCGGGCAACCAGCTCTGTGAACTCGAGGCTGTTCAGGCTCACAAGGTTGTACATGATGATGGCCCAGAAGTTCAAGGCTCCAAAGAGGGCCCGGACCCTGCGGGACATCTGCACTGACAGAGAGGCCTGCGCAGTCCAGCAGGCCAAAGGAGAGAGGGCGAGGTGGGTCAGCAGCCTTGTGGGTCAGCAGCCCAGCCCACATGGCCAGGCAGGTGTCGGGAGCCCCACGCCGGGTCTCCCTCCCTGTTAAACACGGGAGACAGGTCCGGAGCGAAGGCAAGGCCGGACCAGCGCAGTGAGGTCCGGGCACTCCAGCCCATAGAAGGCAGGGAGGGCCGGATCCCCCAGAGCACGCCACTGCCCTGACAACCAGGAGGGGCTGGGGAGAAAGTTCTGGACTGGGGGCAAGGGGTTGGACACCCCCAGAAAGCAGCAGTGCCCCCGCCCTCTGTGACCCAGCCAGTCCCAGCCCCAGATCTCTCTGCTCACCTCAATTCGTGCTAGGGGACCCCACTCCGCCAGTTTTTGCACCCAGAGCTCGAAGTTGAGACCAAAGCAGTTAAGGAATGACCACAGGTAGACGATGTCACAAGGCCCAAGCCAAAGAGTGGTGATGGCGAACGTGGCCACTGTGGCCGCCAGCTCCGGGATCACGGCGGAATGCTCCCCACCAACGTGGTCATACACGTACCTGCAGGAAAAGTGGGAGAAGACCACCGGGAGTGTGGGCAGGGACCACAGGGAGGAGATGGGAGCGGACACAGCAGGGCGAGCTCCTGACATTTCTGACCTCAGGCAGCTGCTCCTCCTCCAACCAACTGCAAAGGGCGGCAGCCCGGCCTGGGGCGTGAGAGCTGCTCCAGCCCGGTCGACTCCGCGGACGATCTCCTCCGGACCCAAGACCTCAAGCACTGCCTCGGGGCCAGCGACCCCCGCCTGTCTTTAGCCCGGTCTCTCCTGCTTTGCATATCTGGTTGCTACCAGCCGAGTCACTTGGATGACAGATTCCCCCGTCCCTGCGCAAACCCCGCTCTGTCCCATCTCAGTGGATGACACCCCCTTCAGCCTCTCAGGGTCTGAGCCTGGGTGCGGGCTGGGATTCTCCATTGGCCTCATCGCCATACTCAAGCAAGCCAGCAAACCCTGCCGGCTGCACTCAGCTCCGACCTCTGCCACCTCCGCCGCCACCACCACCACTGAGACAAGATGGCCTCTCTCCTCACGGAAATGACTGCAAGAGCCTCATAAGGGCTCTTCTCCTGCCTTCGCCCACAGTTCATCTCCGCACAGCAGCCAGAGGCATCTTTTAAGAGTGTAGCTCAGGTCACGTCACTTCAGGGTTAATCCCTCTGACTAACCCCCCATTACAACCAGATTAGACTCAGTCTCTCTTCTCTGGCTAGAAGATCCCACGAAGCCTGGTTTCCATTCCCTCCCGGACCTCGTCAGTCCCCATGCTCCCCCCGTTCACGATGCTGTTCATTGGCCTTTCTGGCCTTCACCCCTCCACAGCTGGGGTTCCCCTATCCCTGCTCAAACCCCGCTCCAGATGTGCCCGTCTTGCTCCCTTCACCTGGTACTCTCTGCCCCACATCTTACCACTCAAATCTCAGTTCAAATGCCACCTCCTCGGAGAAGCCCACCAGACCCCACTAGAGAAGCCCCTATCCTGTCCCATTGCGTGTTTTAGCTTCTTCATAACATGGACCACTCTCAAGCCTCTCCTTCATGTGTTCGACCTGTTTATGGTCTGTCTCTCCCCACTAGGCTGTAAGCTCCACGTGGTCAGGGTCTTTGCCATGTTCACGGCTGTTCCCCAGTGCCTAGAACAGTGTCTGGCACATAGTAGGTGCTCAATAAACATTTGTTAAATAAATTCAGCAGAAGACCCATGAATAACCTGCCTCCATTCCTCGACCTCCTCATTTCCGATGGTGTTTTTCTCCGCTCCACCTCAACCACCCACACCCGTGGCCACACCCCAACTTTGTCACCACTTGAAAGCTCACTCCTTCCTAATTCCCACTCTTTGCCCAACCCCTCTTGACCTCCTGGCCCCCGGCTTTGGCCTTGTGACCCTCTCATCTTTACCACCATCCTTAGCAGGCTTAATGCAATGAGTCGTCACCAGAAACAATCTAAGAACTCTTACTCCTGACTTCTTCCTTCTCACCCGCCTACTTTCTCCTCAGCTACACCAGGCAGTGGAGCCCCACGGGGGAGACCTCACAGCTGCACACGCTGGGGTTCATAAGCCCACCACCTCCAACACCACCTGAAGGTGTCTGTAGTTGGCTGCTTCTCCCACGCTCTGCAGGGGTCACTGTGCCCGTATGTCTCCGCAGACACGAGTGGAGAGACGGTATGAGTGGGGAGATCCAGGCTGGGCTGCAGGGATGGGCACACGTTGCCTCTCCACGTCCCCAGCCCTGCGTTCTCAGCGGATGGCCGCGCCTCCTGCTCCGTGGAAGAGGCTGAGCGTTCGGGGGAGTCCTGTACTTGTCCTCACTAACTTGCCTTCCTCCGCATGCCCACTGGCTTCTCCTCCTCCTCCCGCTGAACCCAGGCCTCTGCCTGGAACTAGCCGCTGTCACCTCCTTCCTCGTGGGGACCTCACTCCGTCAGTCACCCCTGTGTCCTGCACCACCATCTCCTCTGCTGAATGATTCTGCTCCGCGTGCCCTGTTCTCTCCGGTCTCTGACGCGCCCTCTCCTCCCTCAGCCACTCCTCTTCCCCGCAGCCACCCCACACCCCTCGACTTTCCCTCCTTACCTGCCCCTGCGTTGCCCGTGAAAGGCTGCAGCCCTCCACGTTACCAGCACTGGCTTCCCTGCGGCCCCCGCCAGGCCTGGACGGTCTTCCCGTGGCTTCCAGGGCGGGTCTCCTGTCCTCCAACCTCCCTAGTCCTTTCTGCCGGCTCTTCCTTCTCCCTCCAAGCAGAGCACGTGCGGGCCTCACCTCGGCCATCCCCGTCTCCTCTCACTCCACTCCCTCTCCTGACGCCTAGGACCACCTGCCCGCACTCAGCACGCTCTGAGTTCTGTCGGTCCTCCAGACCCTCCTCAGGCCCAGCCACCTCCCTGAATCTCCAGAGGGATATCTCCTGGATTGCAACTAGACATTTCTGAAACTGAAGCCGCCCGTCCTCCCAGGATGGGAGGCTGCATCCAGGCTGCAGGTGGGAATTCAGGCATCACCTCCCTCACGGCCATGTCCTGCCCAGGCTGCTGGCTGTGTGACCCCCTCCCGCCACCTCTCTGCCCCTCTGGGGCCCTCACTCAAGTCCTACCTTCTGTATCTTTCACCCAGACCTCTGCTAAGACCTCCTCACTGCGCTCTTTGCTTCCCCTGGCCCAGGGGTGATCTTTTAAAAGGCGGACCCATCTTGGCACTGCCCTGCTCAGACACCTGGCAGGCTGGCTGTGACCCCACCCCCACTCACTTGCAAAGCCAGTCGTTGATGCCACGGTCAAAGTGCCTGTAAGAGGAAAGCAGGTTGGCATGAACCCTCAGGGTGGGCATGAGCCCTCAGGTGCGTGGGGAGGAGGCCAGGGGAAGGTGTGGTCCCGGGGTGCGCCTCCCCGCCCTGGCCGGCACTCACGTTTCTGCGAAGACGTAGAGGGCGGTGATGCACTTGGGAGGCTGGGGCGGGTCCAGGTGGTCGAGGCACGCCACGGTGTTGACGACGCCGAAGAGGATGGCCGCCTTCACCCAGTCATACACCAGGTTCGAGTAGGCGAGGCCAGCTGAGGGCAGCACACCGTCACTGCCTGGGCTTCATCGCGTGGGGTCTGCCCCCATGGACACCCTGTCCCGCCCCTTCCTTCGGGAGACCCAGGCTCTGCCCGCCCCATGGAGACCACCATATGTGGGAACCAGCCACGGCTGGCGAGGAGGGTGGGCCCTGTGGATGCTGCTCCGGCCCCACAGGACGAAGCTAATGCGGAGCCCCGTGTGTTAGAAAGAACAAGCCCCTGCTCCCGTGCCCTCAGGTGCTTCCCCAGCTGTGGCACCGTGGGGGTGCAGGGGGCTGTTTTCCTGGGGTGGCAGCCCTGCCCCAGCCCTCTTCTGGGAACCCACCAAGCGCACTGTCTGGGAGGCGGTTGGCGAACTTGAGGTCACTGGGGATGGTGAGGATGTAGAAGAAGTGAAAAAAGATGTCCACGGCCATGATGGCTGCCACGCTGAGGCCTGCCTGCGCCCGGATGTGCCACAGCTCACCCTGGCGTCTGACCGGCTCCACCTGGCTTACCTGGGGGGATGTGAATGGTCTGAGGTGGGAGGCAAGCCCTGCCTGGGGAGCCCTGTCTGAGGGGGTTCACCAACTACTGGGGGCAAGAGGGGACATGGCTTTATCCAGGAGTCCTGCCTGAAGGTGGAGACATGAGTCATCCTGGAGTTGGGGGAAGATTTGCAGCCAGCCAAGGGAGACCTGACACAGTACTGCCACAGACCTGCCACTGGAGACCTGCCACAGGAGACCTGCCACAGTACTGCCACAGACCTGCCACTGGAGACCTGCCACAGTACTGCCACAGACCTGCCACAGGAGACCTGCCACAGTACTTCCACAGACCTGCCACAGGAGACCCAGTACTGTCCTGGGAGCCCCATTTGAGTGGGAGGGGAACAGCCATGGCCTGGGAGCCCCGTCTGAGGGAAGAGACGTGTCTCTACCCTGGGATCCCTGCTGGAGGGGAAAGGAGGCCCCATCCTCGGGTCTGAGGAGGGGGACACACACTTCATCTTGGGATCATGCCTGAGGATGGGGAGTTCTACCTGGGAACCCGAATCTGAAAGGGAGATTGAGCCTGTTCTAGACGCCGCAGCGTGTCCCCTCACCTGGGCGTGGAAGCGATCAAAGGTCATGATGGGCCCGAAGAAGAAGAACGGCAGGTAGAAGTTGTACTTGAGCAGGTCAGCCAGGGAGTAGTGGCGGTCGGGGTGGGCACAGCTCTCCAGCGCAAAGCTGGTGCAGCGCAGCACGGTGAAGCCGCTGCCCCCGTGAAACAGCACCTCTTGAAGATCAAAAGTGCCTGTTACAAACCCGCTCTGGAGGAAAAGAACAGGCCACCAGCTCACCGGGGTGCCTCCTGTCTCTGGGAAACCCACTCCCTGGCCCCTGGCTTTCCACAGGGGCCCAGCCTGGTCCTTCCCCCTCCTCTTTTCCAGAGCTAGTTAATTTTGCCCATAGCTCCGTCCCCGCAATGTGAGGAGCCCGGAATGAGCTGGTCAGCTCCTCCTGCGATGCAGGTGGTCACCTTGTGGCCAGGGCACACCCAAAGGCTTGAAGACAGGTGCGAAAGTGAAGGGAATTCTTGGGGATACTTGGGGAGCAAGGACTTTGGATGACATGAGAGGTTTGGGATCTTATCCCTACGCCATCTACCCCTGCACCAGTGCATACCTGCCAAGAGATGAGAGGGTCCATCTTGAAGGAGGCCAGGCTGGCCAGGCCAAGGCCAAGACAGAGCCAGGGCTGGCCCAAGAGCGAGGCCACATAGAGGCCCACGCAGTGACCAAGCAGCAGCAGCAGGTACCAAGGCCCCATTGTGCCCATCACGGCCAGGGCCCCGTACACGGCGTACATCCAGGAGCGGAGCTGTGGATGGGAGAAGGCTTCAGTTTTGCCCCATAAGTGGGGTGCCACCCCAGGAGGGGTTTCCCACAACCCTTGTGGTGAAAGAGGCACTGGCAGCAGGGGACTGGGTGGCCCAGGCCCAGCTCACCTGGGGGGCAACCATCGTGCAGAGTTTAGCAAACAGCACGTGTCCGGAGAGGGCGAAGATGATGACGTTGCGGAAGGACGTGAACCACATCACCCACTCGAAGTCGGCCACGTCCTGGGCAGCCGGGGCAGGAGGTGGGGTGGGTTAGCGTGGGAGGGGGCTGGTCAGAGCCCAGCACCTTCCCGCCTTCGTGTTCTTCTTGTATTATCATCATGTTTAAATTTAATAATAATTACGATTTTTACACTGGCTAACCCAGCACGTCCTCTATGCAAACGCAAGAGCAGGGCCTCCAGGTCTGCCCAGTCCTCTCCGAGGGACGTGCACAGGCTGGTGGGTAGAAAGGAGTGAAGGCACCTGGGGGACTCCTCCTGCCACCACGCCCTGCCTGCCATTCCCCTTACTGCTGTTTCTGGGAAGGGAGGTGCTGGAGGCTCCGCTGAAGCACTCTCCACTAACGCCACCCGTTTCCCAAGGGAGCAGGGTGCGGGCAGGCTCGCTGCCCCAGGAGGGTACAGGAGGGGCCAGGGGAAGCTGGAAGCACTGAAGCTCCAGCCAGAGGCCCCCGAGCTCCGCTCCGTGTAACTTGAGGACCTCCGCAACATCGGGAGCAGCGGAGAAGCGTTGGGATGGGAGGGACCCTGGAGTTCGGGGGACCCTGGAGTGGGGGGGGACCCTGGAGTGCGGGGAACCCTGGAGGGGGGGGGGCCCTGGGGTGGGGGGAACATGCTCCCGAAACGTCTTCCTGTGGGCCCCATCTAAGAACAGAGTGTGGCCTCAGGGAGAGGGCCCCTCACACACCGCGCCCCACCTTTCCCACCTTCCCCTGGACAAGGCTGCCCCACCCTGGGGAGTGAGGGCGTCGGGAGCAGGGCGCAGGTCTGGTATCTCTGGGGCTGTGTCTGCTTCTCTCTGGGCTTTTGCTATGTTTCTGGGTCCAGGCTTCTGACTGTGTCTGTGTCTGTGTGTGTCTATGTTGTGTTTATGTGTGTATGTGTGTGTGTCTGGGTCCAGGCCTCTGTGTGTGAGTGTGTGCATGTGTGTGTGTGTCTGGGTCCAGGCCTCTGTGTGTGTCCTTGTGTGTATATATGTCTGTGTGTGTGTGTCCATATGTCTGGGTCCAGGTCTCCGACTGTGTGTGTCAGGGTGTCCGTGTCTGGGTCTAGGGCTCTGTGTGTGTGTGTATGTGTGTGTGTGTGTGTCCAGGCCTCTGTGTGTGTGTGTCTGTGTGTGTGCATCCAGGCCTCTGTGTGTGTGTCTGTGTGTGGGGGGGGGGTCCAGGCCTCCGTGTGTGTGTGTGTGTGTCTGTGTGTGTGTGTGACTCTACGTCCATGTCTCTGTCAGTGTGTCTGCACCTGGCTCAACCCAGTCCCCAGTGCCTAACTGAGATGGGAGCCCCAGGCTGAAAAGGGAGGTGCAGCCCTGTTAGAAGGTGTACCCTGGATCTGGAGCCTGTCAGTTTCTGGCCTTGCTGGTTGGAACCCTGAGGCCCTCAGGGGAGGAAGGGTCCTGTCCCCCTGCCCCCGGCACAGCCGTTACCTTGTGAGGCCTCAAGGAGGCCGTGGCCAGCATAGGCCAGGGCCCCACTCAGCACCAGAGAGTACAGGCCCAGCTCAGCCGCCGGCAGTGCCGTCTTGATGCGCATACCCTGGACAGGGCTGGGGAGACAGGCCGTGTGAGGGCGCTGCCGTCTCCAGCCCTGCCTCGCCCCACCTCCTGGCCCGTCACCCCAGTGAGGACCCTGCTCTGAAAAGAGATTGCCCCACCCGCCCCTTGGGGACCTTGTGACATTACTCTGCCTGCTCCTGTGCCCCCCACTGCTCGCAGGCCCCCCAGCACTGTGCCATCTCAGCTGTGGCTCCTGTCCCCACCCCACCCATCAAGGCTCTTGCTGGCAGAGCTGTCACCTTGATTGACATCTTCATGCCTTCCAGAGGGCCGCCCTCTGTCAGACCCACTCCTGCCAAGGCCCCCGTGACCTTCGTGCGTGCGGAGAAACTTCATCTCTATCACTGCAATCAGGTTTCTGGCCGCGGAGTCCCACCTCGTTCAGTGAGTCTCCTTCAGCTCCTCACAAAGCCCAGCCTCTCTAAGACCCCTTCTCTGACTCCCACGCCCCTCCCTGGGATCCCGTGACCTCCACAGGTGCTGCGCCTAGAGCCAAGCCTCTGCCTCTGGCCTGGGCCTCCAGCCTGTCACTGACACCTGCCCCCAACAGGGCCTGGAGCTCCAGCTCCACTTCCCAGGCCCTGCCCGTGTCCGTGACCACACTGCCCACACCCTCAGCACCCCGTGGATCCAGGCCCTGGGCGCCGGCTGGAGGCTGTGCTGTTTGAGGAGGTGCCCTGGAGGGGTGGATGTGGGGCGAGGCGGGGCCAGGCGGGAGTCCGAGAGGGTGCTGGCCGCTGTCCAAGGTGCTGACCAGAATCGGGCCCTGGTGGAGCCCGGCCCTCCCTCCCTCCAGGGCCTGGCTGGTCCCCTAGGGTCCTGCTGGGCCTCCCTGTGGCCTCAGCTGGCACCTCTGCCCTTCCTACCCTGCTTTGGCCTGGCCCAGGGGCTTCCTAAGGACCCCGCGGGTACCAACTCAGCATGCAAATTAAAGGGATAACATGACCAGGCACCTCCTGGGCTGACGGGGCCAAGAGGTGGTTGATGTGGCCTTTTTGCCCACCTTCGATCCTCCCCCAAATTCCCAGTCCTGCAGCCATCTCCCCAGGCCCCCGAGGTCAGCAATCTCCTCGTACAGATGGATCACGGGCCAGATAGGGGTAGGAACCTGTCAAGGTCACACAGCAGACCTGGGACAGGCTTCTGCCCACCTCCCCTCAGGATCGGGTTTCTCAGTGACCCCTCTGGAATCTTGCGTGAGAGAAGACCACCACTGTCCCTGCCCACAGCAGAGGCTGCCAGCCCAAGGGTGGAGGGACCTCCTCACCAGCTGGGTGGGGGTGGAGAGGCCCTGGGGATCAGGTTAATAGAGCAGGAGCTTGAAACCGGAGCTTGGTGAAGAGCCTGAGAAAGCTTTGTCAGCTGCCTCCCACTCGCCACTTTCCAATTTTAGCTCCCCATGGCCGGTGCGGGGTGTCCCCAGCGAGGCCTCTGCAAGGAGCTGGCCCCCAGCCTGGGGCCTCTCCTGATAGACCCCCGGACGGGGGCTGGCCTGTGGACACAGGGGCATCCCCTTTCCCCTGGTCCTGCCTGCCCCTGATGCCCTTGGGGTAAACCCCGCTTTGGGGCCTGTGATTTGGGTTGAGGGCCTGGGGTGTGCCCCGCAAGTCTCAAGAGCCCCAGAGTATCTGAATCCCCAGCTGGTACTGACCTTGGGAGTCCGCGAGGGACCCTGGCACACTGCCCACCTCGGGCTCTGGGGTCCTGCGTCCAACTGTCCGTCCGTCTGACAGGCTGAGCTCTAGGGCCACAGTGGGGTGTGTCCAGCCCTGGGGTCCCCACCCCCTTGAGGTTATGAGCGGTGAGTGGTGACAGCGGGAGGAGAAGGGGAGGAGGAGGTGGCCTTCCTGAAGTGGAGCTGAGCAGAGTGGAGCTGAGCCGAGCGCCGCAGCGCTGTGGCCACAGGGAGCCGAAGGGAGGATCCTTGGAGGGGGGCGGTGCTGGGGGGAGGTGTCCAGTAGCAGAGGCTCAGACAGGGACACCTGGGTCTCTCTTCAGCCTGCCTCCCTTGGCTCCTAGAGAGCCTGTGCCTCTCTCACTGCTACCCAGGACTTCCCTCGTCCAGAAGACTTCCTGGTGGCCCCACCAGCCGCTCCAGGCTTGTAAGCCCTGCCCCCACCACAGCCACACACACTCACATCATGTGCACACTTTCACACCTGGGCTCCAGGGACTCCAGCCGCCCCCCGCTTTACATAAGACCTCCTGGGGACTATCCCAGGGCAGACGCATTTTGCCCCCTGCCCTGGTCCTTTTCATTATGCAATGAGTCCTGGCAGGCCACACATCAGTGCCTGAGGGAGGGCTGGCTTGCCTGATGGGACTGGAAGTGGCATGGTACATGTGGCTGAGAGGGGTCCCCGCAGGCCAGCCCTGTCCCATACGGAGTGTCCTGGAGGGGGGTGCCAGCAGGGTCACTTGGCAAGGCTTGTGGGTACTTAGAATGGCTGGCATCCTCTTGATGGCAGAATGGAGGCAGACAGGAAGACAGGAGTGCTCCTGACCAACTGGGGGTCCTGCTGTGACAGGGCCCTCATTTTGGAAGGGAGCATCAGCCCTGGACGCCTGAGGGGAGGAGTATCCTGAAGATGCTCCTGAGATTAAGAACCTCTGACAGTGCCCTCTCGGATGAGGCGGAGTCATGGGGAGCTGTGTGTGTCTGCGCCATCTGTAGAGGCCTGAACACATGTGTGCCGTGGGGAGGATCTGAGGGGTGGGAGGAGCTCCGTGGCTGTGATCAGTCACAGGACAGCTCCTGGAGCCCCTGCTGATCCTGTGACCCCAGCTTCAGGCTCAGCTGAGGAGGCAGGAAGGAGGCGCTGCTTCCCACCCACCAGGGCCCAGGAAGGACAGCAAGGAGACTCCCAACATACACACGCCACGCAGGACGCAGAGGGCGCGGAGAAGCGTGAGTGCTGGCCACCGCACAGTGTAGGCTGCGTTAACGCCGCGGTGGGTAATGGCCACCAGAGAGGCCAGCACCAGGGAGGGAACGGTACCCGAGCCAGACTTCAGGCTTCAGGGGGGCTTCCTGGAGGAGGAGTCAGTGGTTGTTAGGAGTAAGTTAATCACAGCAGCAGGACGTACAGGGATTAACTTCTCAGTGTCACCACCGGCCACAGGGAAGGCGTCACCATTGTCTGCAGGTGGAAGAACCTGGTACCTGAGGAAGCCCCATAAGCTCCTGGCACTGACCGCCCTGTAGGGTGAGAAGCCTGCGCACCCACACCGGGCCCCTCACGAGGCTGGAGGAAGCAGACAGGGTGGTTTGACCCAAGTTAAGAACACAGGTTCAGCCAATTGACTTGACCTGAGCTGGCATGACCTACATCTTTGGGCCTCAGACCCTCAGCTGTGAAATGGGCATACCGCTGGCTCTGGCCCTCACGGGGGTGGCAGGGGTACCGGCGACTCACCCCATGACAGGGGCCTCGCTCATAAACAGAGAGCCACAGCCAGCCTGGCCCCCAAGGCCCAGAGAGGCTGGTTTCACACACAGCAGTGAGGGTTTCCCGGGTGACCAGCGCACGGCAGAGTCTGCAGGGAGTGTGGGGGGCGGGAAAGGCAGGGGGTGGAGGGCTAGGGAGGCCCCATGGTCTGACCTGTGAGGGGTGGCCGGGGAGGGCACCTGGCGAGGCCAGCCCACACGAGGGGCAGGAAGCTGCCTGAACTACGACCAGCGCTTGGCCCTGGGGCCACCTCCCAAACACCACAAGGGCCTTGGAAAAGATGCCGTGGGGAGTGGGGACATTCTCTCAAACCCGAGTCTTTTTTCAGTGCTTTTTCGGTTGTTTGTTGCTCCAAATAAAAACGGTAGGAAAGTATCCTCTGCGTTTGCAAGTGTGTGTGCGACTGTGTTTGACCAGATGTGTGTGGAGTCTGTGTGTGGTTTTGTGTTGTATGTTGTTCACGGTGTGTGTTTGCTGAGTGTGTGCGCTGTGTGTATTGCTTGTGTGTGTACATGTATCGTACATGCATGTGTGATGTGTGCACTCTGTGCATGTGTTTTGTGTGTGTGTGTGTGTGTGTGTGCAAGGCTGAGGGATATCGTAGAGACAGTGCATATAAAGGCACAACAGTGGGAGAAGGTGGGCAGACTTCGTGCTCAGAGCTGGCTGTGGGCTGGCCAGGGGCGGGGAGGAGGAGCTGGTTCTGGCCCCTAGTTGTGGGGGGCCCAGGGGAGCACACCCACTGGAGGTCACCCTGCCCTGGTCTCCTGGGAGCAGGGGAGGGGCCCAGTGGCAATGTAGTGTGTCTGAGGAAGCCTGAGCCAGGTGCAACCTTGTCCAGAGGCCCCCATGGGGACAGTGGCCAAACCACATCCACGGCTCCGCCAGGTCTGACCTGTCAGTGCTGGAACCTGAGCACCAAGACTTGCAGCACCTGCCTGGGGTGCCAGGAAGAGCCCTCGCCCTCACGCGAGGCGACCCTGCCGCGTAACTCTTCACTCAGCCCTGCCCCTCAACCTGCCAAGGCACCTGCACTCTCTCCTCCAGCTGCCACCTCGAGGCCCTGGCCAGCGTCCCTGGCGTCTCGGCCCCCCACCTGTTGCCCACCTGCCTGAGGGATCGGGGGGCCATCCTCAGGGTGCCAGGGACAGACGTGCTGCCTGGGAGCGGACGGGCACTAACCTGACAGGCCCACTGCCTGGCTCTGTGCCTGGCTCACCTGGGTTGGGTTTCTCAGGGTCCCTATCCTTGACCCCTTTGACCACCTCCTTCCCTTGAAAATCTTTCTCACAGGCTCTCCTTGCCTTCCCTTTACCATCCTTGCTCCTTTGCTCAGGGAGGTGTGAAGGACACAGGGCTCCCTGTCAGCCCCTCTCCACCCAGATCTGATCAGGGAGGCTGGGAGCTTGGGAACCGCCACAGGGACGGGGTGGGGACGGTGGGGGGGGGGAGGGGGTAGCCCCGTGCTGCAGTCTGGGGCCAGGTGCCCTTCCCGCCCAGCTCCATCACGGCGTTTCCCACGCCTCTGATTGGACTGGGAACTCCCTGGAAGGAGGAAATGAGCCAGATTCACCTCCAGGCCCCTCCCAGGCCCGCAGAGGCTGGCATGCTGTTGGCACTCACAGATGGCCTGGTGGCCGACTGGCTGGATGGAACGGTGACCTGTGACCAGTCTGTGTCTCTCCCCAGCTGACCTGGGAGTTCCTGGAGGCCAGGGACTGTGCCTGCCTCACTGTGGCACGTCTGTGCCTGGGGCAGAGGAACTGCTCAAGTTCTGGTGAGCGAGTGGAGGGAAGACGGACAGCAAGTGTTTGCTGAGCACTTACTGCGTGCTAGCAGCTGCTCTGGCACTGGGTGCTTCACTTCAGTGAGCCCTGCAGAGGGTTCCCATGGGGGAATGCAGCAGACCTGATCTAACCAAGCTGGGGGTGGGGAGGTGCCTGGTGCAGGCGCCAGCAGGCGTGACAGGGACTCCCACACACGGCACACAGCAGTCTGTCCAGGTCGCCCCTACAGTCTGGAAACTGGAACACTCGTCTTCATACCCAGAGTTGGCTGGAATCGGTTTGCCCAAATGTGCAAACGAGATTTCCCGTGCCTGCCCATCAGCAGTTCTTCTCTCCCCTCTTTCTTATATAACGTTTGTTGAAATCAATCTATGGTTTTACGCCCCTTGTACAGAAATAAACAGAGAACTAATAATTATTGAAACAACTTTGGGCTACTGACATGTATGTTAATAACAGCCCCCCCAGGGAGGATTTTATTGTCCCCATTTTATAGATAAGAATGTGGAGGATCAGAGAGGTTACACTACTTGCCCAAGGCCACACAGCTGGTAGGTGGGGAGAGAAGCATGCCCCAGGCACCCCCACCCGTTCAGACTCCATGACTGACGCCCCTTCCTCTCAGACCTAGCCCAGGAAGGGCGGCAGAACCACCCTGGAAAGGCTGGCGTGTAGGTCACACCACCTCTGCACTTCCCTGAGGTGACCCTGAGGAAGGACGGCTGGTCCTGTGCCTGCCTCTCACTCCCTGAGCTGCCCTGAGGCCGGAGCCTGCACCCCACACACTCACCACCCTCTGGGCTCCCCAGTGCTGCAGGAGAAGGTGTTCAGACCCAGCATCCCTGAGGCCCACCCCTCGCTGTCACACACTGTCCCCTCCCAGCACAGATCCTCTCCCTCCCGACTCTCTGCCTGGCCATTTTCCTTCACAAGGAACCAGAGAAAACTCTTCCTTCCTGCAGACCCCTAGGGCCCCGTAAGAACCACCAGTTCATCTCCGTGGCCGCTGCTCTCCTGGCTGTGGGAGCTCCATGCAGGGTCAGAGGCCTCCTGAGGAGTGGCAGCTGGCACCAGGTCCCTCCGGAGCCCCACCCCCAAGGAAGGGGCTGAGAAGACAGGGTTCCAGCAGCCCCACGGCTTTTCCTGGGGAAGGGGGTGTTTTCATAGTAGGGCACCTGCATCTGTGCCTCACTGCACAAGCAACACACAAGCGGCTATGTCTTCACCTGTGGGAATGTGTCCACAGCCACGTGTGCTCTTCTGCACCAGGGTCTCCGTGAGTGTGCACATGGAGAGGCCTGTGTGCGTGCATAGCTGCACGCTCCTGAATTGTACTTGTGTGCATCTGCAGCATTGTGTGGGCCTGTGGGTACACATGTGTGGCCGGGATATCTGAAGTTGGCGTGTGTGGCTATGGAGGACCCTCTGTGGGGACACTCATTCCTGTAGCTGTAATTGCGTAGCTACAGCTGAGAAAGGGCAACACTGTGACAGTCACACACAGGCCTGCAGACCCTTAGGGTCCCCTGCAGCAGCCCTCCCAGACCACTGTGGCAAGGAAGGAACACTGTACCTTCAGCTGCCTGAAGCTCCAGCCGAGCCCTCCCCAGTCCTCTGCCACCAGCACCCACCAGCCGCAGTCTTGGTGAGCAGGCGGAGGTGCTCAGGGCAGCTGCCTGGGATGGGGCTGCCCAGTGGCGGGTGGGCATGCCGACCCTGGCTAACCCCTCAACGGCAAGACCCTGGTTTTGGGTCGCGGACTGCAGTTAAATATTAGTTCAGCTTCTTTCTGCGACCCTCAGTTTCTTCATCCGTCAAATAGGGTGACAATCCCCTGGGTTACTGGAAGACTGGGTGGGGCCAGACTTCCACAGTAGATGCTACTCACTGGGAGCTGCGGTGACTATGAAAATGCTTATTATTACAAGTCCGAGGGTCTGCATCTGGGGCAGAACCTGAGGGCGGCTGACAATCCAGCTGAGGGCACCGTGCCCCAAGTCTGCGCAGGGCGTGGACGGCTACAGATGGAGCCGGGATGGGGTGAGGGACAGGGCGGGGCTCAGTGGCGTGGGACGTGCCCAGCCAGAGTAACCAAGGGCTCTCCTGTGTGTGGGGCCACGGGGCGTCCATGGCAAGTGCCTAGGACCAGGGCGGCGAGCACCTGGACAAGGGACACGTCTGCCATACGCAGCCACCTTGCTGTCCCGGAGCTGTCACCTCTGCCAGCGGGCCACTGTGCCTCTCTGCTGCTGCAGCCCGGCCGGCCTGCAGGGTCTCTCAGTGTCCCTCCAGGGCTTCTCTTCTGCCCTCCTGGCCTGCGGCGTCGGTTTTGGTCATCCTGAAGGAGCCTCTTCTGGTAGCAGCAGCTGAGCTGGCTACCCTGGGCCGGCTTCCCGGAGCAGATGGAGCTGGGGTGTGTGGCTATGGGGCACCCGAGGCTGCCCACCCGGCCAGGCCGACACTGGGCTGTCACCTACTGCTTGTCTGTCTTCTGCTGCCGCAGGGCCTGCAGGAAGACACTTTTCACCTGGCCCAGGATCTCGCGGTACATCCGGAAGTCCTCCTCCTTTCCCTGCAGGGCACTGGCCAGGGCAGCCTTCAGCATTTCATTCTCCTCCCCCTGGACGGCCAGCCTGGACCACAAGAAACAGTGCTCAGTGTGGCGGGAGCTGCACACAGGTGCGTGGGTGGGAATGTGGCTGCCAGCACGGCTGCTCTTCAGGCTCAGGGTCCCTCTGACCCATGCCATCCTCTCACAGACTCGGGGATACCGTGGATTCCTCTCGAAGGGCCTGGCTCCCCGCAACACTAAGCTGCCTCAAGACAGCTTAGAAACTGAGTTCTCATTGGTAGAGGGTCCTGTCTTTCCTTTCGAATGGCTGCGTGGGATCTTAAAAGGTTTGACTTGGCGAGAAACTGAGTTTAGTGATTCATGCTTGATAAACTTTCTCTCTGACTATGGGTCATCAGCGTTTGGGCCGGACCCTCTGTCCTCTGAAGGCCTGTCCCTGAATGACAGGCCTGGAATCCAGGACCAAGCAGGACCAGCCTTCTGGGCAAATGCATCACAAGTGCAAGGGGAGGGACATAGCCCCTCTGCCCCTGAAGGCGCCTCCACCCAGACAACCCCACCCTTTCAGGAAGGCGGGCGAGGGGTACCTGGTTGTCAGCTCTTCCATTTGGGATTCTGTGGGCATGTCGGAGAGTTGGGCAGACGACGGGTCCTTCTCGCTCCCAGCTGGGTTGTGCCTGGCGTTGGAGGTGGGCAGACCTGTGGGGCAGCAGCAGCCACCCTGTGAGGAGGCCACAGCCCTGCGCTGGCACCCTGCTTCTCCTCCCCCATTGCCCACTGCCTGCGCCTCCACATCGGAAACGGCGCACCGCCTTCGGGCGCCGGGCAGCCCTGAGCTCTGCTTCCCTCCAGCCCGCCGGGCGCCTCCTCCGCACGCCTCTGCCCGGCTCTGGCCTCGGCTACAGCCCTGACTCCGCCTGCCTTGTACCAAGGTGGTTGGTTCTCACCTCCCTGTCTCCATCTTTATACTTTACAAGTTTCTGGTAATTGATTTTCTTTTTTTTTTGAGACAGAGTCTTGCGCAATCTGCGCCTCCCGGGTTCAAGCGATCCTTGTGCCTCGGCCTCCTGAGTAGCTGGGACAACAGGTGCCTGCCACCATGCCCAGCTAATTTGTGTATTTTTTGCAGAGACAGGGTTTCACCATGTTGGCCAGGCTGGTCTCAAACTCCTGGCCTCAAGTGATTCACCCACCCTGGCCTCCCAAAGTGCTGGGATCACAGGCGTAAACCACCATGCCCAGCCTGGTAATTCATTTTCAAAACGAGAAGCCAGCTGGGCCTGAGGTGGGGGCTGCGGCTGAGCCGAGTCACTGTACCTGACGCCCTCATGCCAGTGGTCCCCATCCAGGCCAGCAGCTTCATCCCAGGAAGCCGGTGATCCAGGGTCCTGGGTTTGAGGGATACAGAATGCTCACAGAAAGGAGACAAAGCAGCCGGGCACAGTGGCTCACACTTGAAATCCCAGCACTTTGGGAGGCTGAGGCCGGAGGATTGCCTGAGGTCAGGAGTTCAAGAGCAGTCTGGCCAACAGGGTGAAACCCTGTCTCTACTAAAAATACACACACACAAAAATGAGCCAGGCACGGTGGTGTGTGCCTGTAATCCCTGCTACTTGGGAAGCTGAGGCAGGGGAACTGCTTGAACCCAGGAGGTGAAGGCTGCAGTGAGCCGAGCTGGCACCGCTGTGCTCCAGCCTGGGCGACAGAGCCAGACTCTCTCAAAGAAAAAAAAAGAAAGACAAAGCCCAGCTGGCAGTGAACTTGGGCAAAATCACAGCCTCAGAAAAGCTCAGCGCTGAAAAGGCCTCAGCTGGTGTGACCCGTGGTAAATCATCTGGCATCAGTAGACCTGGCTTTCGCCCTCTGCTGAGAGGCCTCAGGCAAACTATCAGCCTCTCCGAGCTGGTTTCCTCACCGGAAAAGGAGGGATAACAGCTTCTGCCTCTGGAGCCCTGGCAGCCTCGGGGAATCCCACTGGCTCTCAAGGCCTGTGCAGCTGGGCCACCGCGGCCTCCTTGCCGCCTCGCTGCTCCTCCAAGCCCCAGCTAAGCCTCCGTGCACCCACATCTGCTCTTCCCTCGGGGTCTGCAGGACACACCGCTCCCCGTTCCTCCATCTCTGCTCAGATGTCCAGCTCCCCCACTGGAGCGGGACTGCATGGAGGACGGAATTGCAAATCCAGTCTCCTGATTTTACAGATGGGCCGGGGGCAGGCGGGGAGGTGCTGCTCTGCTCCCCAGAGGGGCAGCACTTTGCCCATGTTACAGGCCAGCAGGCAGCAGAGGTCACGGGCATGGTTTCCCTCAGGTAGCTGCCCTCACTGTCCAGCAGGGAACAAAGCAACTTCCCGGCTGGGGCTTAGCCCTCCCTGGCTGGAAGTCCTGCTGCCTGGGAGGTGGGCCCCAGCCTGGAGAAGCCACACTCCTAGGGGACATACTCCTAAGAGCCCAGGAGGGTCAGCAAGCCTAAGCCCCAGGGACCCTTCTAGCCTGGATTCTCAGAAGCTCCTGGCCTTGCTGGTGGAGAAGAGAAAACAGGTGGCCCCAACCCCCTTGTACCCTACTTCTGGCACACCCTTCTGAAACGTTCTGACCTCATCCGGGCTGAGCACTGAGACCAAGGGTCTGCTTATCCTTGGCTGGGGAGGGGTTGGGGGCTGCTGGAGTGTTGAGAGGGGTGCAGGGGGGCAGCAGCACCTCCTCTCCAGAGCCTGGAGGGGCTGGGACAGGTGGGATGGGGAGGTCCAAGGAGGCAGGCCCAGCCCCCCACAGGGAGGCCCTCCCTCCCTGGAGTCAGCCATCCCACACCCCAGCCCGCCCCAGCTGCACAAGACACGGATGCTGCTGGTGTGGACACCGCACCTTCCTCTGCATTAGAGCAACAGACCTTCCAGGTAGGGACGGCGTTTCCTAGTGCCCCTCTGCCCCTGGCTATGCCCAGCTGTCTAGGATCTGGACGGCATTTCCTAGCGCCCTTCTGCCCGTGGCTATGCCCAGCTGTCTAGGATCTGGATGGCATTTCCTAGCGCCCCTCTGCCCCGGCTATG